TATCGGAATGTCGGACGAAGCATTAGCTCGTTTACCATCACGTGATAATATTAAACGCTCAACTTGTGCTCAAGTGCTCAACTTTCTCGTGCTCAAGTTTCCTCCTGCTCAACTTTCCTCGTGCCCATATTTCCTAGTGCTCATCTTTCCGTGCTCATGTTTCCGGTTTCCACTATAGATTAATAACGACTGGTCAATTATTCCTCCACGAATGTATTTTTATTAACAGTAGTATACTCGTATAACGTTTCCAAATGAAACAATGTTCGTTTTAATTGACCTCGGATATGATTCATTCAGGTTAAATTTGATTATATGTATACAAAATACATATGTTAGCATTCATTACATTTTCTTCAATAGCAAAGAAGTTTGTACGAATATTGTTTAAATTTATTCAAATAAATACTGTTTTTGTTAAAATTATTTAAATTCCATGACGTTTATCATATGATCTAATTTTCTTGATATTGATTGATTCGATTATTAAATTGAACTGTTAATTGTTCTCTATCAATTATTCATTTAAAGAATTAGAGTCCTCGTTTAATTTTTATTAATATTCAATGATAAGTATAGGACATAATCAAATAGCTATTCTCAAATTCCTCATAAATTGTATCATCCCTAATTACACACTGATAGGCTACTAGACTAACAGCTAACTAAAAGCTTTTTTTAATCCGATTATTCTGGAATAAAATCGAATAGTGTGAAACAAATCGAACTGTTAACATCATTAAGCATTAAACCATACACAAAGGCAATTCTACGCTTTTCCTTCAGTAGCCGTTAAATCATGTCAGTTTTTTATTCGAACCCGGTACTGAAAACAAATAACTATAAAAGGAAATGCTTTTTTATATGAGAGATGGCAACTTAGAAAAAAGTTGTGCATTCGAGGTACTGACTTTTATTAGCAAAAAAAACTCATTTGCCATTTGGGCTGCTACCGACGATGTGTTATCGAAATTGAATTATACAGGTGTACTTACATGATGGTAGTGGATGAGGCAGAAAAGTACGCGTGTAACAAAAGATGTTTTAGTGGTATCTGCTACTGATAGTAAACTTATATAGTTTTCCCTTTCTAGAACTGTCTTTAGTTTTGTCCATTATGTTTAATGTTCACTGTGGTAAACATTCAAACAAAGACAATTGCCTGTGAGAATTATTGACGATAATCTATAGTTTTGAAAACCAATTCGAAGTGTAGAATACGTATAAACCGTGATTTAAAAATCTCTCACTTTTTTGCTATTTTAAAATATCTAAAAGGTTTTCGTGTGACATGGTAAACCCTCAAATGTTTTTGAGAACATAGTGTAGTCGTATTTTAGAAAACGAAAATTAGTTTTTCGACAAAAATGAGAAACGTTTAGAAAGTATCTGTATGATTCAAATGGTTATACCTTTTTTGAGATTTTTTTAAATGCCTTTGTTTTCAGAAAGTAGGGGGGATTATTGAAAACCACTGATTTTTGTTTAAAATATTGATTTTATCTGGATCTCCTACTCCTCTATCTAGAAGCCTCTTTCGGCATTCCGTTTTCTATTGATCGAACGACATCCTGAATATTGAGAGATGCACTGTCTGTTAACCTATCTGTTTTTATAGTCTCTAAGAACTTTCTAAAATTGGAAACCGTTTTTCTGTCTCAATCACTCTAGAAGTTGATCTATCTCCTTAACATCGAATCAGTTAAACTGTAAATCAACTTATTTAGCCGACTAAAAAAAGTGATCTCAGTGGAATTTCTTGATCTTGATGATTGTTCAATCGCGGTTTTGCTCTGCGCTCTTGTTTACAATTTAAGTGAGAAAACTTTGTGCTCTTAGAACATTGATTGTCAAAAGTGAATTATCTAGCATCTTTAAAATACGTTAACATTTAGAAATAACAAATCGTTGTAGAATAATTCAAAAAATAAAATCGAAATTAAAATCATCGAAGATTTTTAATGGTTGCGTATTCTACACTTTTTATCCTTAACAAGACAACGACAAATTCGAACGTTATATATATTATCATCAATAACAACACAAGTTTATCGCAAACAGAAATTGAAATATACGAGTATCGATCTCTATTGCCAAATTCACAGATGAGTTTAACTCTCATCGATTTAATCATTGCATGTTTAACAGGAAGAGAAAAACCACTGAAAACTCTTCGTCTACATGCACCAAAGAGTCATTTTCTAACAAGTCTATTTGAACAATTAAAATCACAATTTAAATACCATTCAAAAACGACGGTGACAACAGAAAATTATCCTAACTTTGGTAAGCATCGTACCATACTCTGATCTTAATAAATCCATAATGATCTTTTGAAAAGTTGTTTAGACTATTTGCTTTAGAATTCACAATTCAGGCTTATTTAGCATGTTTACAATTATGTTCATTTGATTGAATTATGTTAAAAACTATTTCTTTCTATGTTCTTTAGTGAAAAGTTCTCGATTTGAACATTGTTGGGATTCTGATATTGAACTGAAAACATTTGAACTCATTCAACATGAAAAATTAAAACATTTAGAATTGACGGGGATAAAATTAGACAATGGGCCATTATATTATTTAAATGGAGCATTGAAACTCGAACCACAATCGACATTATCAGCTGTGAAACCAATGGATTGTTTAGCATTTGAATTTACGTATGATTCGATTTCAGGTACCGGTGATGTTATCGATCAACAGCTATTTGATTCAATCAGATATCATTGAGAGATAGACTGATTCGTTTGCATATGCCATGGAATATCACATACACATCATCGATCAAATATCGATCACGATCATTAACAGCGCTACCAAGAACACCAGCAGGTAAGGCTGTACTCCATTTTCACTTATTCACATTGGACTTTTCATGTTATCAGAAAGATGATGTAAAATGTTTTTTCTTGATAGCTTCTTCACATATGATACCAGATTATTTATTTTGAGTAACTATGATTGATCTTCTATGTATAGCACATCGCCTAAGCTACAACTTTCCTACCGAAAGTTTTTCCATCAGAGTCTTAGTTGAGCTAGGGTTTTCGTTTCTTTCGACAGGACTCAAACTCGCGGTCTATTTTTGGTGATTCCGTCACGGGCATATATTTCAACCATAAATTTGTAAGGGATAGAATTTAACTAAAATTTTAGGATATGTAGAACACTTCGACTTAAATGTCTTCTCAAAATGTCAGCTTTATCCGATCTCATTTCGTTGAGATATCGAAGATACAAAGTGAAAAAACGTGATTCCGTCACCATTGGACAGGCCGATTAACTATCACCGACTCATCCGTTTGGGCTGATTTTTTTTGAACTACCTGAGCACTTGATCATCTCTTGGTGAAAGTTTCAAGTGAAACGAATGTGTCCTTGTTGAGATATAAGTTTGGCCAAAATAGCACAATCGGTGATCATTTTCCATTGGAGCTCTCAGTAAAAATGAAATATCTCGGAAAGGGAACAATATTTTCTCAATCGACTTGCGTGGATATTCATCAGACTGTTGCCTCTACAACATATATAAAAACCAGTACAATCGGCGACCATCGATTAAGCAGGGTCGTTTGTGGCTTACATGGAATGGCTGATAAGACAAAAATGCGGTTGTAAATCAGGAGGCAGGTAACACGACGGAATACGATCGTATACGGTCGTATACGACCATGGTAACTCGACTTGGATCGAAGTCTGAAAATTACAGCATATAACAAAAACGCTATATATATAGTATCACTCAAGACCAAAGAATGTTGACTCAACTCTAATTTGAGTCAACGTTCGTTCAAAAAAAGAGAGAATGGCAACGTAGCTGTCATAACATTTTTTGACTCAACTCTCTTTGAATTAACATTCTTTCATGACAACAAAAAGGAATGATAACGTAGCTGTCATGGCAAATAGAATACATCTTGCCTGCTCGAAAAATGCCTGTCGCTTGAAATGCAGACAAAATCTTGAATGCCTGTATAATGCATCAGATGGATACAGTGAATCAAGCTTGCCCGAATGGTAAAAATGGACTGTTCTTGAGTACTACTTCGCCAATATCCGATTTCGGCAATATCCGATTTAGACTAAATGAAAAACAGATAAAAAGCGTTTAATTTCAATAGATTCGCTCATGCCAACAACATACCTTATGGGTAATTCTTTCGGTACTGTCCCACACTTTGTATGAAGATTTGCCGCAAAAATCGCGACATATCTCATTTGAAAGAACATTTAATTCTGAGTAAGAATGACTCATTTAAAAAATTTTAAAATATCGGCATGGGTTCTGGAGAGGCCCGACATTTGAGGATTTTATAGGTTCTAAGACGCAATTCATACCTAATTATCTCAGAAATGACAAAAGCAACAAAGCTGAACGCTTTAGGATATAGACTAGAGACAACAAGGAATAAAATGGCTCAAAAATAATATGTGTATCGGATTCGAAAGCGGCAAAATAGAAAGAAAATAGAATAGAGCTCAGAACTTGAAAACCAATGATATAATCTTCTCTAGAACTATATCATTTCATTGACTGCCAACACCGCGTATACACTGAAAGTGGAGAATAAACTTCTAACATTGAAATATACTATATTCGGGTGAAGAGAGATTAAATTCTGCTAGTAATTGCTAAATTCTGATGATCACAAACTGAAGCTGCATAACTTCTGCCACTATGAAATAATGAAACTCGGTTGCTGCTCACTAAATTCAAACATGGAAATATACTAGATTCGGGTGAAAAGAGACTAAATCCTGCTGCTTCTCACTCTGACATTCAAATAAAGACATTCCGTTTAATAGGGATTAAGCTCTGCTAAGAATTGCTAAGTTCTGATGACCACACATCAACGTTATTTTCACAGTGTCAGAATCTATGGCTATCGATGTGTGGTCATCGAAATTTAGCAATTACTAGCAGAATTTAGTCTCTCGTCACTAGAATTTACTTGATTTTAGTGTCAGAGTTTAGTGAGAAGTAGCAGAATTACCTCATTATACGCTCACTATTGAATTTAATGTTGTTCTCACTAAATTCTGACATTGAAATATACTGAATTTCAAGTGTATACTAAATATACCAGATTTCTGAATAGGATCCTTAAACATTCCGTATACCTGCAATTTGAAAAAATAGTATCTGACGCCTCTGAATTAAGATCTATTAGTATTAAATCTTTGAACATTTTCTCGAAAATTACTTTCGTATTGAAATGAACGATGAGCGATTTTTTGCTGTCCAGTGAAGTTTCTCCTTCGTCATGAAGATTTAAAAGATTATCCATGAAAATTCTCGTTCTTCACTCAACTTTGACTCAGATTGATTCTGATAGCTATAGTAATGTGTTTAGTGATATTCCACAAGTATTGTATGTTTTTATTAAAAAATAATTAAATGAAATGAGAGAGGTACATAATGCATCGTCATCGATGTATAGTCGTATTAAAGATATAAAGAAAAGAAAAAAACAAGCAATAAACGTCAAAATTGCTTCAGCGGCTAAAAACAAAATTTAGCCAATGTACAAAAAAAAAAGATAAAACTGTATAAGTAGTTAAAAGAACAACAATAGAGAAAAAGCATAAAAAAAGGGAAGAGAGAAAGAAACTTATTAGAATCATTTATTTATTTATTTATTTATCGTATTATAGAATCGACACAAAACAAAAAAAAAACAATTTATATTTATGGATACATAACTGAAATAAAAGAAATATAAAAAAAAATGAAATTGCTCGTCGTTTATTTTCTAAAAAAACTTTGTAAATTTATAGAAATAGAAGACGATAGTTGCTTCTATACGCGTGCTAGTGAATTTTATTTTTTTGAATATGTGTGAGTGTGAAATAAAAAAAATTTGGAAAAGAAGCAACAAAAAAGATAAGAAAAGAAAGAATATGTATGAGCTCATAATTATTATTATTATTATTTAATCATATAAGATAGAAAAAAAAGCATGATTTAATTCTATTTATCCAATCGACTAGTCTAAACGGTATACATGTATAAAAAATGATAATCATGAAATGTTCTTCACTTCTTTTTTCATATTGCACAGACAAACAAAAACAAAAAACAAAAAATTTTGGTTCATTGTGAATTTATTCTGTTGTCTGCTCGATGTTTATCCTGTTAATTTAACTCTTTGGTTTTTACAAATTCTGAACAATCTGTTCTCTATTTAAATTGCCTACTGTTTTTAGAAGAAAACCATACAAAAGAAAGCGAGAAAATTGTACAACAGAAAAAAGAAAATTGTTCTCTTGCATAATCCAAAAAATTCCATCTATTATGATGATGATGATAATGTGGAAATCTGTTCTAAACTGTTGTGGGTTCGCATATCCTCCATTTAGAAAAGCAGAGAAATAAGAATAAAACATAAATCATTCAAAAGAAAAAACAGAGCAAGAGAAAGAAAAATTCATTCTTCGCTGACAAGAATCTGACAAAATCTAGCTTATTTATTATTATTTTTATTTTTTTTTAGTATTTAAAACATTCTATAGACGTTCAATGTTGATGCTGTTGTTGTCGACTATGATTGAATGCACTCGTATTGGTCATTTCATTCAAATTTGAACGCTGATGTCTATCGCTATCAGATAATGGAGAATCACCTGAGTCCTCGTCTTCACTGTACATCCTTTAAAAAATAAAATTCAAATATTTTAATTATGATTCAGCTATTAGTTTTTTTTATACCTACCCTTGATTATCAAGAGGACCACGTTTTTTTGCTGCATTTTTTTGTTTAACCATTTTAACGGATGTTCTATTTCGAAATCCTTGTTGATTTGTTCGATTCTGTTGTGAAGTAAATGGTTGAGGAGTCGAAGAAGATGAATAATAATTTGTTGGACTACTACCGTAATCAGCAACAATACCAGACGAGGAAAGTGATTGTGATTGAATGGGTGTGGTTGTTGGATTATTAACGACGAGCAAATCAGTTAAGGATGTTCTTAATGAGTGTGGTTGCCACAATGATTGATCACTATTGTCGTTGTTGTTATTGTTATTATTCATATTCTGTGATTCATCAATAAATGATGATGAACGTAAATCACTTTGTGAATATGAATGTCGATCATCATCGTTATTCTGATGATGACGTCGACGTTGTTTTTGTGAATGAAGATGATAAGGTGAATCATTTGAAGATGATGCTAGATGATGTGATGGACTAATTAAATGTTGAATCGTAGAATTTGTTGAATGTGTATGTGGAATACCTGCTGATGATGCATGAACTAATTGAACAATACTATCTCCTCCATTAGTCTGAGCATCATGTTCATTTGGTATATGTTGAAAACCGGTCGATGAATATCGTTTGTATCCACTTCCATCAGGACTATTTGTAAATGTGTTTGAATTGTTAGATCGTCTTACAGCTAAATTATCATCAAAACGATTTAATACATCTGATCGTCGAGAGTCTGTCGACCGTTCTTTACCTGATTTATTAAAATTATATTTAGGTGTTTGAATTTGAGACGTTGGTGATGTCAATGTATCATCATTATCATTCGTCGTTGTTGGTTCTAACTGATTGAATGAATAATAATCTCTTGCATTGGTTTTATCTAATTTGTCATTATTAATATCGAGATTATTATAGAGTGCATCTATTTGAGCGATAGCATCATTAAATCCAGGTGTTGTATTAACAGGTGTTGAAGATGATGTTGTTCCGTTTCCATTACGGAATTGATTTAATATTTGATTTATTTTTTCAACATTGTCGTGTTTCGACCGATAGTATGCTGGAAGACGATTTGTTGAATGTCCATTACTATCACCACCCGATGCCGTCGTGTTTTTTGTGTTATAACGACGAATATGAGTTTGCTGTTGTCCTTGTTGTTGAAGATTTGAAGATGATGAGGGTGGATTATTCGATGCGCCTGATTGTTCATCACTCGAATAGTTTGTGTTTACACCTTGAGAACGCAGTTCATCCGATGAAAAATAGCCACTTGAACGATTTAGCGAACGATCAGATGAATGAAAATCACTGTTTATTATGACCGTATTTCCTGGACGAGCAGTCACATTTTGAATCGATACTCGACCATCCTTACTGGTTGTCACTATTGCACGCGTTGCCTGGTTCAACTCGATGACAGTTGGTCTTTCAGGTTGTTGTGGAGGACGTTTTTCAATTTCAATTTCGAATTCAATATTATTACCAAATAAATTTCCTAAACTAGCTGTACGATGTTGACTATGTAATGAATGTGGACGAAGATTGGAAGATGATGTAGGATACTGTTGTTGTTGCTGTAATTGGTCGTGCATGGCTGAATGGTAAGATAATGAGCGTGTTGGGGGTACTGGAGGAGTTACATGCCTATATCCATCTGTATTATCATACGGATCTAAACATATAAACTTATTCTTAATATGATGCCTATTGACTATATACTATTAAAGACGTTTTGAAAAAATTTGAATTAAAAGAGAGTGCCGTAGATTTTTACTAAAAACTGTCACTATTTATTGTATGTTTAAGCCAAAAGGTAGAAAGTTGATCAAAACAGAATTTAAAAACTTTGACCGCTAGAAGATTATTGTCTGTTTCTGGAAAAAATGTCAAGAAATATTCTTTAACTTCATTATGTTAGTTCAGTAAGATAACTGAATTTGGAAAAAGTAAAAAACAAATCAATAAGAGAATTTGTTCTGTCAATAGTAATTCTAGAAATCGTAAGGCATACATCCGTTAGATCGTAAGAATATGTTTTATGCTTCCCTCTCACTCAGTCTTTAGAGATCGTATTTTTGTTGTTTCCTACCGATTCTTGAGCGTCTTCCTTTAACAGCTGGTTCTCCGGATATGATTGATGAATCGGTTTCTTGATCAACATAAACGGATGGAAGATATTTTAAATCCCGTTTTGCATCATTCTGATGTAACGTTTGTAATCGTTCATATGTTTTACGATTTTGCTGCTCAGCTGTTGGTATGTAACTTGTTGCTACCAATTGCTGCTGTTGAAGATATTTTGATGATGTCTGTTGTTGTTCAGCCTCTTGTTTTGCTCTTATGTGTAATTCCGGTTCGCTCATTGATGTTTGTCTAACACTTGGACGCAGGGTGGAAGAATAACCATTACGATCAATTTGTGTCAATGGACTAGTGGATGATTCACGCGCAACAGTCGTAGATGGTCTAGGAGTCTGTTGCTGATTCATTTCTGGTACTCGAACAATGGCAATAATTTCATTACTATCATATTTACCGAATGTAACTTGACTATCCGGTGAGAGGCTTGTTACTTGCATTGTACGTGGACCAGCACTACAAGTTCGAATGGAGGAACGTTGTGGATGATGACGTTGATGTTCGGACGTTGTTGCTGTTATTAAACTATCATGAGAACGATCGCGCTGAATGGGTTTGAACCATGTTTCTTCAATTCTCACTGGTTCTTCTTGTTGTGGTGATGAGTGTTTTTGAGCAATTTGTGATGACTGCGATGGTGGACGTCTTCCTGTTTCATATGTAACAGTGTCGGAAGGCGATGAACTAAAACGATGCGCACCACTTTCTTTATAAGATTGATGAATTTCAGTTGTGATTGGTCTTGATGAGATGTATGTTTCAGAAGTTTGTGTGTGGGGAATACGATCTAAAACACAGAAAACAAGTAATTCTACAGGATCTTGAAATGGAATTTGAAGCGTTCTCACGACAATCTACTTACCCGTTTTTGATTGATCCGTATAATATTGTGGTTTTTCGTTGAGTAAAACTCTTCTTGATGTTTTTAGTGCTTCATCCGAAGAACTATCTGGTGTTCGTGTTGTGATATTGGTTGTGGTTATTTTACTAGTTTTTGGTGCGCCTTTTGGTGCCGGTTCAGTTTTTGTTGATTCTTTTATTTCTCTCGTTCGATTCATTTCAAATTGAACATGTGTCTCGGTTTCAATTGTTTCAATTTCATTTAGTATAAGAGGTTTTGCACGAGATTGCGTTGTTATCGGTACTTGTTTTGTCGGGATACGTGCAGTTGTAGTTGTCGTTGTACCACCTGAACGATAATTGGCTAAATTATCATAATCGGACAATGTGCCAGGAGTTGTATTCGTGTCTGTATGAAAGGTGCCCGTTAAATGACGTCGAACATTTCGTTGTTGTTCGTCGGCAATACGCGGTAGTTGTTTTGGTTGTAAAATCTCAGTTTCATATTTATAAGTAGATTTTGATAGAGGTTCATCAACTTGAGTTTGGTATTGATGTTGACGCTTTTGATCATATTCAGAACTTGTCAAATCTGTATCTGACGTATGATATCGACGCGACCTTGAACTAGCTGATGTCTGATCAACATAGATTCCACTGTCTCTAATGTTAGCAGCATTGTCATCTAAAAATTGAGATGATGTATTCATCCATGATGGTCGACCGATACTTGTCGCTGTTGAATAGTCAAATATACCACTATCGGAGCTAGTTGGTTTCAAATGTGATTTTGTTGGCATTTGCGAGTCGGATACATGCGGTGATAATTCAATCAATAATCCTTTTCCTTTACTGATGGGGACATGGGATAATAGATTTTCCATATTTGTTTCATTAAATGTTGTCGCGTGTCCCGGTGTACTACTAGAAAAATCTCTTAGACGATTTCTGGAACGTCGTCTTTGTCTCACGGATGGTGTCATTTCGGTAACAGTTGTCGTTTCTTCCTGTTCTTTTTCACTTAATTCATCCTCAGATTCATTTCCATCCGGTTTTTTATACAAATTAAAATCATCTTTTGGTTTTGGTGTACTCTGATAGATTGGAGGTGAAGATGGACCACCCACAGATAAATCCGAATCAATTGACGATACCATACCGGTTTGTGCATTATAGCCTGATGGTCGTTTTTCTTTTATTGTTATATCAATTGATGTATGCGGTGTGGTCGGTTTTGTCATTGAGGATTCTAACGCTGATTTAACAGCATCGAATCCTGAACGACCGAGACGATCGGTTGATTGAACACGTGTCGTTGACTTTGATGATATTGTGGGAATATCTTTTGGTGATGGTGAAAGAGGTGGAGGAATGACAGTACCGCTGACTGTGTCTTCTAATCGTCGACGAAAATCAGCTGTATCATACGGCCGTTGGACATCAGTTAGTGTACGATCAGCCGTCCATCCCTGTGTGGGACGTTTTTCCATATCTGTTTCGTAAATTTGTCGACGTTTATCGATTGATTCTCTATCGATCGTTTGTTTTGTTAACGAGATGCCTCGTTGAGTTGATTGTTGTTGATCACCAGTTTCAAAACGTGATATACGATCGGTGATTCTAGCTGCTGGTGCGGTATGTATTTCCGTAATGCGACGTTCATTGTCACCGACACTTCTTCTTGTTAATGCCGATTGTTCAGTATATTCACTGACCTAATCAAAATGAACAAAAATGTATTTTTCTCTCTCTGATCTATATATTACACTAAGTACATCTTACTTTACTTATCATTTCAATATGACTTTACTTTTGACTTCGTTAAACGTAGAATCTAACCTACTCTCTCTCTCTCTCTCTTGTCCTTTGTACGCTATTTTTCATCTTGATCGATACATATACACGTTCACACGGATCGACTCACTTCATATTGAATGAATGAGAGAAAAAAAAATGAATGAAGAACTCTTATTAGTAATAAATGAACATAAACATAACATTTTTTTGATTAAAATTGTCTTTCTCTAGGTAAATACATCACACATATTATACTATGTATTCTTTTCATGATATATAGTTGCCCAATATACTCTCTCACTTACTCTCGCTTTCTTTATCACTCTACGTTTTTCCAATACAAAGGTTAATTGTTACCACACGTCGTTTATAACGGATTTCTAATAAATAACAAGTCTGTTGAGCTTTTTCAGTAACGTTCAATAATCACCTATTAATAAAAACGAATAACCTGCTGTAGTGTACATGATGGACATATACAATACATGTCTAAAATTTTTTCCGCACATTTGAATATCTGCCTAATTCTAGTAACAAGTTCTCGTCATTTGGATTTAACAGAGAACGTGTAAGTAAAGTAATTTTTTATTCTCTATTTAGGCCACTGAAGTAAAGATTTTAGTGAAAAACTTAAAAGATATGAATAATTTAAGTTAATATGGCGAGAGAGTGAGAGAGCTCAGACACAGCAAACAAATTATTCTTTGTGTGTGTCATTCTTTAAAAGATTTTATTCAGCTTATCCCTTTTGTTAACGAAACAAAAGTGAAACATATATTAGATAAATTGTTTTTCTTTCTCTTATTCTCGTCTCTCTTTTGGATCAACACTATCGACTACTTGACAATAGCAATAGATGATGTAACATAGAAAATATAATAAAATGTATGTGACTTTTTTTAGTAAGTGTCAACAATTTATATTTGACACTTGTATGAATATGTGATTGCTACTATATAACCAAACCTCTATAGAAACTCAAATCCTTGAACTGTAGAAGTTCATTACAAGTGCTATTATTAGCAGGATTCACTAGACCTTTTGTTGAAACATAAAAAAAATTTCTAGAATTTCGATCGATTTCACAATTAGAAAGTATAGGCTTCTTCTTTACTGACTCATAGGTCAAAAGAAGGGTAGAAACTAGAGATCAGCCATACTGAGCAAAGATTGGAAATTTGACTGAGTGAAATAGTAATCAATGAGAGTTAAAACAGTTACAAAACTTTAAGCAAATATTCAGAAGGTTTTTAAATACTAAACAGATGACGGGAAAACGACTACAGTTAATTTTACACTTGGTTAGTAATTAACTGACTTCTTACACTATATACTATATAGTGTGATAATTGTTGATTAATTACCATATCAGACAATATATACGTGTACTATATACGCTATATTGTAAACACTGTTAACAAACATACAACTATTAATTATTTTATAGAGAAAAGTAACTAAGTTCTTGAAAAAATATGCTCATCAGATTATTCATATAAAAATCAGAATAATCTTTTCTTCTAATCTGTACGATTAGGTAGTACTGATAACGAGTGGCTGGCTCATGCGAAAAATACATAGGTTTTTTGTATAAGAAGTAATAACTTTCCTTTGTTCACTCAGTCAACTTAATTAATCAATAAAATACATACGAATCTTGTTAGTGGCGTTACATTAAACTGAAATGTCCACATTTACACTGTTCACGAGTCTGTATGTTTCAATAATGTTGTGAATAACTAAGACAATTCTATTTTCATTTATGATGATGGTTCAAAACATAACGACGACAAAAGAAATTGTTTTCAATTATATTATTGACCGAAAGATTTTTGATTTATTTGTCTCAATAACTGGTTTATAGACAATCTCTCTCTTTCTCTATGATGTTTTTAGTATATGTAAACTAAGGAGATGGAGAGATGATTTAATGAAACTAATCTTTTTTCTAAATTGATTCAAGCGATAAAGATTTAGGTTAAGTTAAGTAGTAAAAACTATTTAGAAATGCATCTGAAAGCGCATATGTGTGTGTGTGTGTATGTATTGACCTTGAGACTAACCTTGTTCATAATGTTTAACGAAATAACTATGGGTGATTCCATAAATTCATCGTACGGACGATTACGAGCACTTTCATCGCGTTAGCTATGAACGTCTATTTAAATGAGAGACTAACTCATGTATGAGATTAGCAAATATCATGTTGTAATCGTTAGAAAATATTGTCTCATAGGAAATCCTGCTGCGACATTTTTTCCGATTTTCGCAGCATAGTTTCAACGTTCAGTTTTACTTCTCTTATAGAAAATTTGACTATACTCGGACCACGAAAGCGAAAATGTCGCAACAGATTCTCCTATGATATAATATTTCCTAACGATTACAATATGATATTTGCTAATCTCATACATGAGTCTCTCATTTAAATACACTGACGCGCGATGAAAGTGATTGTAAACATGCTACGATTCTATGGAATTATCCTTATTCACCTTTAAGAACTGACGATCTGCAAGTGTAACACTTTCGTTACCTTTACATTGATTCTGCCGAAGTTTTTTTAGCATTATGAGGCATGGAAAGATCTTATCTAAACACAAGCGAA